TTTGAGGCCTCCTGAGGATGTGTGCACTGGCCCCCTATTCTTAGCATCGCCCTGGTCCCTGTTGCTTACCTGTGTATATGATCTGGTTGTAGGTCTAGTCATCAGTGAGTCAAGTCATCAGTTATGATGCCCAGTAGTAAATGACTTCCAAAATATTCATGTTCAGCTCCCATTTGTTTCTGGTGATGACTTTGCTGAAAAGTGCCATTCTTTGTTAAAAGCTTGAGATTTCTGCTTACATAGAACTTTCCAGGTCTGAGGTAAGGGATATATGCCTGCTTACTATTTCCGTTCAAATAGACCTTCACCAGTCCAATGAAAGCAAAAGGGCTTTTTAAAAAAAATTATTTCTTCTTTATGAATTATTGGGCATTACATTTAATATCTAAGAAAGATTCTTTATTTCATTAAAACCCACCATTTTCTGAAGTATTAACAGGATTCTGAAAAATCACTACTTTTCATCCATGGTTTATATACTGGGAAAAGTAAAATACCGGGTAATTCATCCAAAACCATTCAGTGAGCTAATTAGAAAGTGAGGATTAGAATATAATTCTTCTGAACCATAGTTTTTTAATATCTAAGCAGGACCTTGCTGCTTTCCATAGATTTCATAGACATTAGGGCTAGAAGGGACCTCGGAAGATCATCGAGTCCAGCCCCCTGCCCAAAAGGCAGGAAGTCAGCTGGGGTCATAGGATCCATACTATGGATACAATTAAATCCATACTATTGTGATTTAAGACTGCTTGATTTCCATACTCTCTCGTCTTTTTTATTTTAGCAGTTCATCAAAATGAAGAAAACAACAGCCCAGAGGACCTCCAGGATACCTCTGATGCACAGGTAAAGGTATCAGTGTTTTTCACCTCCCCCCCTTTCAATGGCCCCATACCAACGAGAAGTCAGCTTTTCCCTGCATCCTAACCCATTAAACTGTATGATGCAGCAGGTATGCTAGATTTTTGTCTGCTGTGATTATTTATAGTAAGATTAATTTATTACACTGGGAATGAAATCTGTGTCCTTGAAATCAGAAGGTATTCTTAGGTAGTATCTTTGCTGTGACTTCCTGTATGATATATACATTATATGCTTCACTTTTTATTTTTGAATTGCATCCATTCTAAGTGGTATATATGTTGACATTTTGGTTGAATATTAATAAAGGTAAATAGATGTAAAGTGAAAAGAAGGCCTGTTAGCCCTTTAAATATCTGTAGCTGCAATAGCATAAGCACACTCTTAACTGGAGGACTAGAAATCTGAACAGGAAGAAATTACACAGGAATCAATGTGAGAGGCAAGGTGGTATCTTTTATTGGACCAACACATAGTTGGGATAATTGGATAGACTTTCAAATGTAAGACGGAATAATGTCTTGGCTTCGAAAGTAGCTTGTCTAACTCTGTCTCAACTATGTAGTTGGTCCAATAAAAGATATCACCCTCAGAAATCCTTGCCTCTCACGTTGAACTAGGGTGAAATCCAGACACCATTGGCTACAGTACTGAAACTCCAGCTTGCATTTGTGCTTAAGTGCATAGGTCTGATTCAAGTTGCTTATCATAATTGATTTACATGAATGATCATTCAGGGTTTATTTAATCAAAGATTTAAAAACAGAAAGAGTACATTAAGTATGCATTAAGTATGCTAAGAGCTAATAAACAGCAAGTTACTAAGTTTACATGGACATACTATAAAAGAAGCCACGATAATTTAATGGCAGTATATCCAATTGTTTTTATTCATCAGCTTATAATTGATTGCAAACCTATTTCCAAAATTTGGCAAATAATATACAGTGGGTTTACAATTAAGTACATAGAGTGTGCCAAGAAGGCACACTTTAAGCAAGAGAGGTGAGAGAAATTGGGGAGTGCTGTTGCAGGGCAGACTTGCTTTGACTTGGGATCTTAGTCTCAAACAATTATTACAAGCTTATCTTTTACCTTGAAGCCCTTGAGTAGTCCCTTTTTTAATGGAACTACACATCTGAATGACGCTAAGACACGTTGTTTTCTGTATTGGGGCAAATGCGCTTTCACCTGCTGATTTAATGAAAATTGAACACTGTAGGTGTCTATACACGAGGCTGCTCAGACATGCTGTAATTCCAGTGCGTAGGAACACACTCTATTAATCAAGTGTGGATCGTGGCAGTTACCGTGCTGCAGCAGCCTCTCACATCTCATGTATCAGCATCCCTGTGCTTCAAAATGGCAGTGGGGGTGCTGTATCTAAGCGCAGGGCTACTGATACACAAGACGCTCTGGGCTCTTTTAATTAGAGTGGCACCTCCTCCCTGCCACTGCAAT